ATATACTATATAGGTACATGGAGATGACCTGTTCAGTCGGAAGCCCTAACCCCCAGACCCTGAACCCTAAACCCTAAACTGTATAAGCCCTAAACCCTAAACCCTATAAACCCTAAACCCTAAACTCTGTAAGCCCTAAACCCTAAGTCCAGGAAGCCTGAACCCTGCAAGCCCAGAAAGCCATGCTGCGTGCAGCCGAAAGAACCCACAGAAATCAAGGCATCCCCAACAAATTAAATAGAATTTAGGGTTTAGGGTGTAGGATTTAGGGTTTAGGGTTTAGTATTTATTTCTTAGTATTTTGGGTTTAGGTTTATAGGGTTAGAAACCCTATATAGCCGTCCCTGTGCGCCGCCTCCGCGCCGGCAGTGGCCCCCGGTACTTCCGCCATGCTCCTCAGGAAAAGTCTCTGAATCTCTGGGTCCTTTGAAAGCAAGAAAACGGGCGTAGGGTCCAGGCGGTTAGCGCTTTCTTTGTAAGTGCAGTTGCCCCTTTTTCTCCGCATGAGACGCACAGGGTTTAGGGTTTGGGGTTTGGAGCCAAGTGGTGTCGGGGGTTGAGTTTCAGGCTGACAGTACGCTTCGTCTTAGAGCTATCCTTTATTTCGGGCTTTTCTAATGGTTCCATGGGGTTGGCACGTAGATTCTGTCCTATCGACTAATGACTAAAGCTTCCTAGAAAACGTTTTGTGTCCAAATCTTCAAGCATTGGTACATGCATAGTTCATGATGTGTGTACATATATATATATATATATATATTTATATATATATATACGTATATATATATATGTATATACATATATATCATATACACAGATACATGCATACATACAAACATACTTGCACGCATTTTTTGCGCCCTAAACCCTAAACCCCCTAAACTGCCATGCACGGGCATACTCATCTCTCTATCTATCCACCTACCGATCTGTCTATCTGTGTGCCAGCCCAAGGCACGTGGGGAGGACGAAGATGTCGGCCTGCGGAGGCTTTCGGGTTTGGGACCATGGGCTTCTTGGGTTTGGGGGGGTTTAGGGTTTAGGGTTTAGGGTTCAGGGTTTAGGGTTTAGGGTTTAGGGTTTAGGCGTCACAGTAACTTGAGAAAGAAGGAGCAGGAGGAGCGTGGGGAACAGACAAGTTTGGCGTGGAGTTTGTAGCTGAAGATGGATGAGGTTGACTGACGCCTTTACCCGACACCCACTGGTTTAGATCTTCTTCCTGCACTACACCTTTCACCCTAAGATCAAGCCTCTAGATTCTTTAGAGCTTTAAGTCAGAACCTGGCAAGTACGGCCATTCAACTGGATAGACGCCCTAGCGGGGCGATCAGCCACATAGACAGTGCATGGGGGGGGAGTGTAGCGACGCGGACCCCTATGAATCCATGTCAGTGCCTCGAAGAACTATGCAGTGAGAACCTTGAAAAATCACTAGAAACGACTGCCATCTTAAAGTTTCTGAAGCCCATCCGAACCTGCGAGGCCTTCAGCAAGCCTAAGCCTCAGCCTTTAACCAGCAAACCCTCAACCCCCAAACAACACAACCGCCTTGCCCAGAAACTTCTCCAGGGCTTTGCAGGTGATGTGGCCCCAGCCCTTCTCCTTCCAAGAGGTACGTGGAGGATCATGTGACTCAGTAAGTAAGGTTATAAGTACCTTAATGGGAGTTGTAATTCCCTAATTACTAAGTCCCATGATCCTTTAAGTAGAAACTTCTGCAGGGAGACAGATGCCTTCAGGGTTTGGGGCTTTAGGGTTCTAGGGGTATAGACTTGTGGAGGTAAGGGTCTAGGGGTTGAGGGCTTAAGTGTCTTCGGCTTTTTCGGTTCATACCGTCATGTCATAGCATCTCACGTACATACCCGGACGCACATTCACCCTTGGAGCTTAACATCTGGAGGCGGACCCCTAAACCCTAAACCCTACGATCTGTCCGGAGACTTCTTCATGTAGCGCTCTTCCACTTTTCAGCCCTAGGGTCTCAGATCCTCGAACTCCCAGGTTGAAATCCCGAACCAAACCCTGAACCCTGAATCCCCAAATCCCTAAACCCTCAACCCCTAAAACCCTAAACCCTAAACCCTAAACCCCTAAAGCCTAAACCCTGTAGCAACCCTCGATCTTCCGAAAAGCAATCGCCACGTCCTGGTTGATCTGCTTGATCGTGCCATAAAGCATCTGACGCCAAGATAGGGTGCAAAGGGGGACACGGCGAGAGTTGATATAGGGGCCTTGACATTTAGATAGGGCTTTGGGGCATATTATACTAGAAGTCTAATAAGGAGCCCCCAGAATAATATATGTAACCCTAAACCCTAAACCCTTTTTATAAGCCCCTAAACCCTAAATCCTAAATCCTAAACCCTAAACCCTTTTTATAGGCCCCAATATTCGACTATGAGGCTTCTGTGTTCTTCGGGGTGGCGGGTAGGCGGCTTCATTCTTTGCATCGATCAACTCCTCGAAAGTTTGAACCTCTAAATTCGAAGTCCTTTTAAAGGGGCTCCTTAAAGGGATCTACAAGGGCCTCTATAGGGTTTAACCTCCAAATTAGAGTCCCTTTGAAGGGATCCTTAAAGGGATCCATAAGGGTTTCTATAGGGTTTAGTTATAAGGGTACTAGATGGGTAAATCTCTGAATGAGGGTTCCTAATAGTACGGCACCCTTACAAGAGGGACCCTAAAAGGGACCCCATTCTGGACGACTGCTCATATGGCTTTGTGGAAAGTTTTACGAAGGCTTGTCGGATTCTCGGCTTTGTAATTCGAGTCTACAATACGTGAACCAGAATCCCAACAGCCCATAGAGGCACGGTTTAGGGTTAAGGGTTTAGTTTCAGGCGAGGTTGTATATGGACCTATAGGCGCTTTACAGAGCTCCAGGTTCAGAATGTTCAAGTTCGATGTGGGACCTTCGGCTTACTTGGGGAAGAGGGGCAGCACCGAAGTCTCCGCGTTTTGCACGGTTTGTGCTTTGGTGTTTAGGATTTACGGTTTGGGACCGGGATTCAGTGTTTAGGGTTGAGGGTTCAGGATTCAGGGGGTAGCGTAACCCCAAATAATCCACTTTTTTCGGACTTGTATCATGAAATCTTTTGCAACCGTAAAAAGGTAGGTTCTTTAGGGCCCAGGAAGGGTTTAGAGGATATTCGGTGCGGGCCGGTTTAGTGCAACCTGTGGTAGGTCGACTCTTTTGGGGCTCCGGTGGGCTTACGACAGGGGCGCAGGAGTCTAGCGCGATGTGGCTTGCAACCTAAAAACTCAACCCCAAGCCTGCACCCCGATCCCGAAATCCTAAACTCCAAACCCTAA